CCTACCCAGCGATCGTTTCGGGCTCACTATTATTAGGGCAAAGGACGCCATGTGAGAAACACGAGCAACTACTTGATTTAGACGTCGCGTATCACATGCTTATGTAAACTTCTATGAACCTTATTTTTTGTGAGCCCTCCACGACCGCTGGCAGATAACACATGTAAACAAACGCCACCGTTATGAGTGACATACCTTTCCGGTGAGGACGCACGCGACCGGTCCAGCCTCACACGCTTCGTTACCGGGCGTACGCGACAGAAACAGCCGTGCACTATGTCTATGCAGGATAAGTTCGAGCGCGTACTGGCACTTTTTGATGAGTTGGATTTCCATGTCTCCGATTTCCTCTCCTCCCTGCTCTGGAGCACTTCAGCATTCAACCATAGTTGTATGCATGACTTGCACAAATGTATTCCTAGCGTTCTCAATGCATTCTATGAAAATAAACGGCTCTCTCCCTCTGTTACCTCTTGGGCCCACAGTCTCGTGAAGTCCCATCATATCAAAACAATGAAGACCCTCATTAAACCTGAAAATGGCTGGCATTTTAATGCTGTTAATGCATCTACTGATGGTCTGCAAGACTTCCGCATCGAAGATATGGCTGCTGACTTGCAGCATCTTGCGCCAGCCCTTTGGGATCTCCTCGATAGCCTTTTAACAGCTACAAGACCGTGGACGGCCTCATCATCACCTGACGGGGGCGACGAGTGGCTGGAAGACCCGGACATTGATGAGAGCCCGGACGTGATACCATCACAGCCGAAAGACAAGGCTTCTCGCCGGAAAGCACTTTTAACAATTGTAAGCACTCCAAAGGCACTCAAATTCATGAACGTTAATGATGTCCTGTAGAAGAAGGTTGTCATCTTAAGCATCTTGATGCAGAGCAGCAGTCAAAAATGTAATATGCTCGGAAGCGTTATGGGTGTCTTCCTCCACGCCTGTAATACCCCTTCGAAGGTTATTCAAGCCTTAGCTCACATGGGCATATCAATCTCAGTCAACACAGTCGAGAAGGCAGTGACATCATTAAGTAAGGAGACACGGTCTAAGCTACGAGCACTCGGACAGACATTCCTGGCAAGCTATGCATATGATAACTTCGATATAAACTTCTCAACAAGCTCCTCGACGATAGAGAAGTCTTCCGATACGCTCACGCACTTGACATCTGGGGATGTCATAAAACTGGAACATGGGGTCACGCAGGAGGATCTCCAATGCTCCGATATCCTATGGGAACGCTCGAGACTAAACCCAAACGCCGACCCAAGCAAGATTCCACGTAAACACAATATTTTCGATATCCTTAAACTCCATCCAGAGCGGGAGGACCCGTCGGGATTAACACGGCGAGAGAGGTTCAATGCATGGAAATTCCGGTCAGACCTCATACATCATGGCCCGGAATACTTCAGACAGTTCGCTACGTGCCTTGGTGAACCGGAGGCGATTGAACAGATTCCTGTCACGAAGATGCAGCATATCCCTGCCCGGGCAATGGACATCAATCAATCAACAATCAAAGGGAACATGGAGGCAATCATCAACTTACTGAAACAAGGCGGAATAGGACAGCCGGAGAATCAGGCAAAGGCTACAGGCCACATGGACATGGACAGCGATGATGACAGCAACGGTGACGGCAACAGCAATGAGGAGTGGTGCGACGCCGATGTGAAGGACATTGTTGACTTCGTGGTTCTCATTCACGGTGACCTTGGGACATCAGAGCGCGTGCAGTCAATACTTGAACGCCGCGCTCCGGAACGATCTCGCTGGAACCGATATCAGTTCGTCGTGTTCGTAATGGGGCTGTTTCACCTTAAGATGGCTTGTGCAGATGCCATATGGCGCATATTCCTCGAGAAGACCCGAGCTCGACTCGATGAGAATAGCTTGATGCGACTGGCTGCAATCTATCGCAGCAAGGAAACGGGAAAGCTAGGCTCTGGGCCCGGGTTCCGGCGCATGCATGAAGTCATCCGAGAGATTGGGACAGCTCTTCGACTTGACTGCTGGAGGGTCGAAGCACAGAAGCGTCGCAGTAGCTGCAACTCGTTAGAAGCTCTCGCTGAAACAAAGTTGCCCTACTCACAGATCGTGGAGATGTCACATGCCCTGGCGCGCAATGGCTATGTTGCAGACGATACGTTATACGGCCTCCGAGAACAGCCTTCAGCAGTGCGGGATCAGCAGAAGGAGAACACATCACTGATGCACAAGTACATGCTGCTGTATGAGGAGATCTCATACGGTATGAATCACGGGGACATCGGACGCGTCGAAACAGCCTTCCCGTCATGGATACTCATATTCAAAGCCGTCGGGAAGAATAAATATGCAAACGCGATGGAGAAATTCCTTACTGACGTGCACTTTGTGTTCCCTGAAGGACTTAGACGAGCAGTCCGTTACAATATCTTGGTTAACCCGACGGGCAAGGAGGGTAAATTCAGAGGCGTTGACTGGGTTGTGGAACTGAATAACCTATTCACCAAGGTATGTGAATAAGGTCCTTGCGGTAACAGAGCCAAAGCTTACCTATGTAACAGTTCACCCATGGTGGCAGCAGTTCAAACTACACAAAAGATCGTGTCATACTCGAGTCACCTCTCATAGATGTGTTTCGAAGTTGTACCGAAAACATTGAGCGGAATCTGCACCTAACAGACCTAACCCGACGTCACAGCCCCCCAGATTTGTCAAAAACATACAAGGCACTTCGAGACTACATGAAAACAGAAGGAACGAATGAATACCGGGCTGGACGGCCCACCCAATACGTCATCACTAACGCAATAGACGTCGGCTGGGCGAACTACCTGTCCAATCTAGATAATACAGAAGATACGGATGAAATCCTGAGTGATCGCAATAAGCCCACGGCCGAAGATTTAGGTGCTGAGGACTGAGACACATACCTCAGGTTCGATCCATTGTCCGGGGAGTAGACGGCCCTGCAGGAGATGTGTATCCATAAAAGAAGTTGGGCGCGATTTGCGAAGCACGTAGAGGTGATGCTCGGGCTGGTGGATAATGATGTGACAGAGATGGGAGATTGTACATAGCGTAACCTGGAAAGAAGTTCGACGGAGGACTGTTTATAATTGGCATGGGATAGGGACAAATCGGGGGTGCAGGGCATTGTGAGATTGAAGTGCTTTGGACTCGCCCAGATAGCCGACTATATTCCATCGGCCCTGGATGCCGATTCTCGTCGCCAGAGATAGCTGGCGAGGATGAGGTGACTCCATGTTTGGGACAACGTCTGTTAGATGCTAAGCAAATAGTTCAGCACAAAAAATGCAAAGCGCACAATACCGGTGCTAGCTCACCAATATGATCAGTTGCCCCACAAGCGCGACACTGCCGCGGCTGCCTGGCCGGGGCAGACGGCGTCCCAGATGATGGTGGAGGGCGATCCCGACTACTTGATATTTGCCCCTTGGGTTCTGAGGTGAACGGACTCTGCTGTAATACCGGTCGAGCCGCGTTGATCACAGCGAGGACATCGTGGCCGTACTGTTCTGCTAACGTCCATCGTGTCTCCGTCGCCAGCTCCTTTGTCGTAGTGACTTTGCTGTAGTGTGCGCAGTCAATAATCCTCTTCAGGATGCTGTCAGGCATGAAGCACCCGGGCCCGAGATCCCGAACTACAGCGGGCCCATACAGTTCTTCTGCCCGCTTCATACGCAAGTCATGGAGGGCCTGTCTTAGCTTAGAGTCCGTGGAATCCAGTTTGTAGTCCTTGAGCGCAGAACGACGGGGAGCAGGGGGCGCAGATGGGGTGGGGCTATCAAAGGGGGGGAATGCGTCGGGATGGCACAAGTTGCAGCAGACGGGAGGTGGTATGCTTGCACAACGCGTGCAGCCTGTGGGAAGGCTCGGGTCGCACGCGTTGTGATCTGATTCTAAAGGAGAATGTAAATATTACGTTCGGGACCATATATATGGTGGCAACTTACCAAGTTTGTCATTCCTAAAATATACCTTCACGGGTATGCGGAAGCATTTGAACGTTCGTGTGCTCGCATTGATCATGTCCTGCATCGCTGGTTCTATGGTACGTGTCCGTTTACCTGTTGTCCCGCACATCTCAGCGCGCTCATACACCTCTCGTAGCTCCTCATATCCTCCGTCATTCGCGTTCTCATCATTCTCGCCGTCTGCATCGGCGCTCTCTACCGTTTCAACTGCGCATGGCTGCGCGTCGGACTCGGGTAACATCACCGGCACACGAGGTGCAGGGTTGTGGGTAGACGTAGGGACGACGGATGAAGCCGGTGAGTTGGAGGTACGGGTCTTCTTTGTCTGATTGCTGTCTTGGTGCGCGATTGCCTTCCTCTTCTTATTCGCCTCGCGTCGCGCCTTTGCCTTTGCCGCTTTCTCCTTCTCTCCATCAAAATGTTTTGGCTCGACTAGGAACAGGGCAAACGCTGTCCTCCTGAAGTCACGCGCACCACGACCGAAGCGTTGCCAGAGCGCACACATTGTACAGGTCGCTTTCCATTGTACGATGGTGTCAATATCCGGAAGATCCATTCCCTTTGATAGGTGAGTCACGCGCGTCGGTACTATTGCGAAGGACTAACCATTCCGAATGAATCCGTGCAGATGAGACCCCACACCTCGCCCATTCTGAGTTCTTTAGCGTAGTCACGGCGGTAGCTGTCGCTCATATCGGAATTAAACCAAGCAACCTTGCCCACATGGTCCCTGCCGTGGACCTCAGAAAGCCGAGCTTGCAAATATTTTGTGGCCTTCAAGCTTTCTGCGATGCTGTCGAAGAATACGAGGAATTTTTTGTGAGGCTCCTCGGGTGGTTGGCTATTCGGGATCAAGAAATCTAAGTCGCGAAAGCTATTGGCAGGGTGTTTCATCTTGCTGACTGCTATCCGAATATTGGGGCGATCATTTGGCCTTTGTATGATACACAATTTATCCTGGCGTATCTGGAGAATTGACATAACATCTTTCAGGACAATTTCAGGCAAAGTTGCGGAGGGCAGGTAGAAAGGAATGGTCTGTGGAATAATATACCGTAGACGATGTGATTCCTTGTATTGCTCTCGGAAGTCGCCCCACGTGCTGACACAGTGAGCTTCATCCCAAACCATGCTTATGATACGAGACGTGAATGTCTCATTCTTCCATAGCCTGTCAAACCGTGAGTTGAGGATCTCAGGGTTGACAGTAACAACGCTATATTTGCCGTCTTCAACATCCTTTTTCATCATTAGTCACCAATTCATGCTGTCCATTAGGTAGTCACAGACCTGCAGGTTACGAGCAGTAGCAGTCTCCTTATTCAAAGCAATCCCAGATATTCCAAGCTTCTTCAATCCGCCTGTATTCTGGTCCCCGAGGATATTGAGGGGAGTGACTATGATTTGCAGGCCCTTAGGCTTAAACACCAGAGGCATCCAGAATGTTAATGTCTTCCCGGAACCGGTACCCGCAATGCAAACCACATCTTTGTCTCCTCGAAGAAGTGCTTGGACGACTTGTAGCTGCCAGAGGCACGCGCGATAGCCGAATTTTTCGGAGATGGCAGCGCGTATCTGGCTGAGAGAAGGAACATCGTCCGCCGCATCAGATGGCATCCGCGGAGCCTTAGTGCAGCAAAACGAAGACTCAGCGCACCAACACGACTCGACGCGACGCGTTCGGTCATGCACGCCAGTCCATTTGTGTCGAGGCTGATCGCGTGCGTCCTCACCGGAAAGGTATGTCACTCATAACGGTGGCGTTTGTTTACATGTGTTATCTGCCAGCGGTCGTGGAGGGCTCACAAAAAATAAGGTTCATAGAAGTTTACATAAGCATGTGATACGCGACGTCTAAATCAAGTAGTTGCTCGTGTTTCTCACATGGCGTCCTTTGCCCTAATAATAGTGAGCCCGAAACGATCGCTGGGTAGGAGCGTGGCCATACTCCAGGCTCCTAGAACCATCCGTCTCGCGTCCTCGATCCTCTCTGCTAGGGCGTGTGTGAAGATGTTATCTAATATGGCTTATATAATGTAGTTTATTTATAGTTGTATTTCCTGATTAAGCCGAACGGTGAGGATGAGGACGCTATGAGATGGCTGGCCCAACTCGTCGTCCGAGGTTTTACCGGAATTATGTAAGGCGGCTAAGCGACTAACGATGCGTCGGTTTATTGACGTTCGTCGACTGCCCGATTTGGATTTCGAGGTGGCTTTCTCGTCGCACCTCAGCCGCCCTTCCAGCATCTCCTCTGCTCGCCGCGCGTCGATGGCGGGGCATACAATCTAATCTTTAAATAGAAAACACTGTTTTGATAGTAATGCATGAGTAGCTGTTGCTCTGTATTTTCGATGTATTTCGATGAATAGATTATTCTATATACATTGAAAAGTGCAAGTACCAGGCTCCTCGATGCAAAGTAACCCCAGACCTTTGAAGATT